TCGGTTTTCTTGAATTATTTTTCTAAGAAGTAGCCAACCAAACATGCCCTTAAAGTGGGCTCCAATTTGCTGACGTGAAGCAGATGAATGCGGACTGGACTGCAATTCCATGGATTTGGATGGATGGGGAGCCAATTGTTTTAGAAGCATAAACCTGTGGGTTGATAAGAACACATTAATTGCTTATTTCTCTAATGCCTATTCTTTGTATACAATGCTGTCAATGGATTCAAGAATTGGAATACAAGAAAAAAATTAACCCAAAACGAGAAAAATCTAGAATTATGTTTTGATTTCTTTTTATAACACCCCATGTAATCACTTATATTTTGCTATTTTTGATAAGAACAATAATTAATATATCTTTTAGTTTAACATATTATACATTACATTATAGTTCAATTATTAAAATTTATTTTTAAATTTTTTTATTATTTAAATTTAAAAATAATAATTTTTTAATAAATATATTGAAACAAAAAATATATCAATTATTTTCCTTTTGATAATCCTTCCTTTTTTATTTTTTCGATTTCGATTAAACTTCACAATCATATCTGGCAACAACACATCTAGCGAATGGGGTAAAGACTGAATGCTCTTTTCGTTGAGAGGCATACCCCTACAAGTTTGGTGTTCAAAACTTTATGAGGAATTTATTTCTATTGTGCCCATCCCCATCACCCCCTCTTATAATATCAATATATATATGTGGCAACAATTATATTGCCAATTATCATGATTCATCATGCTTATACTCAGTTCATATCATGTGATACGAGTTAATTAACATATAGGACGTATCACAATTGCCTTATCTATGAATCTTTTTAGGAAGCAAAATTAGGCTAACGAATTTAATTTAGGACTAGATACTGCATCTTAAACTCTATTTCTTAATATTTTCACATGAAAGTATAATTGTTTTACGTGTTACTTCTAAATAATTAAAATATTTATTTTTATATTTATATAAATCCAGTTAAAAACTGAAAAAAGAGAAATGCGTAACTTTGAACCTTCGGTTCAGAAAACGGTTGTATTTTAGGCCTTCGGAGCTAGCTAGCCTAGCAGTGTGATGAATGATTATGGGCTTCATGACGGGACCGTAAAAGAAGTGCAAAAAGCTTTGTATGAATATAGGCCTGACCCAGTCACCCAGAGCCTGCAATATATATGTTTTCATTCATACTCCATTTTTCCTCTCTTCTATGCTGATTTCTTTTGATATTCTTGGATAATGTCTTAAGTCATCCTCCCCATATGTATGTATTTTTTGCTAAGGAAAATATAAAAATTACTTCCTTTTTTTTTTTTTTTTCCAAAGGGAATATTTTCTTATATATTTTTTAATAAAGATCAAGATGAGGACAAATGAGCTCTTGATGTATAATAATTAATTAATATTTTTTTTTAATCTGTGTAGCATAGGTTAAGTAACAATAAATATATAAACATATTAGAGTAGGGATATCTCGCTAACATAAACTTAAGAAACTCTTACACCAAGTTTTAACTACACAATTTAAAATTTAAGAAATAATTTTGACAATTTAATTGTTACATTAATTATTGAAAATTTAAAATTAATAGATGAGAATTAGTGTGACATTTATACCGGTGTAAGTTGATTTAATAAATTAGTAATGTATAAATATTTTCTTTTGACAGAAAGATCATTTATTGGGCTTAGATTTTGCTTAAAAACAATTCTTTGGGTACTTTAGTTTTTACTTTTTATATATTTTTATTATTTAAAAAAAATATAAAATATTAATTAAAATAAATATAAAATATATATTTGAAACCAAAAAAATTTATATAATTATAGTTAGAGCTCAACACTTTTACACTAAGAGTTAGTTTTTGGGGTCTCCAATCTCGATAGAGTCATTATATATAGCACATATTAATTGTTTTTCCATTGTATGTCTAGTTTCTATCCGCGGTTTTAAGGCACAAATTATGGAAGATAATCACCAATATATATGACTTCTTCTCTTAGTCATTCCTAATTTTTCCATAGTTTATCCAACCTTAATTTCCTTCATTCCCTCGTATTTGTGGTTAGAGACCAATAAAAATTCATTTTACTCATTTGGAAGACTTTTAGTTTTGAACCAAAATATTAATTAAAAAGAGTCACTACAAATGTGTCAATGACTTCAAAACAATCCAACTTCCTGCTATCAAAATTCATTTTTAACGAAGCTGTATAGAGAAAATACATTTTCAATTAATTTTTTCAATATAGTTTCAATTTTTTTTAATTAATTTCACTTTCTTCTCAATTATATATATATACACACACTACACGTCATGATAAAGTAATAATGAAATAAATATTCACATCATTCCCGCATCATGAACACGCCAGTGGATAAACAATCATAAAAACATGAACATCAAAAATGAAGAAGAAGAAGAAATCATAAAAACATGACAAATACTAGTAAAAGAAAAAGAGAAATTAAGTATATATATTGATCATGTATGTATCATATCTCTATCCATGTGTAACAAATGAATAAATATTAACACAAACATTCTCAAAAGAAGAAAGAAGCTATATAGGTAAAAAAATAAAAATAAAAATAAACCTACAAACAATCTATGGTAGGAGTTGGGTTTCCCAGATTGAAGAACTTCAGATCATTCTCCCTGGGAGTCAAGTTCAGATCCAAGCACAAAAGTCTTCCACTATTCTCTTTCTTCACAATAGGCGGCAAAACCTGTTGACTAGGAAGCACCTGATGATTCTCACTCAAACCAGCTCTGTGCCTCCTCATGTGACCACCAAGCGCTTGTCCGATTGCAAACTCCAGTCCGCAGATGGAGCACTCATGCGTCTTGGGCTTCGCGGTCGACTGGTTCTCCATTCCACCTTCTCCTTCCATTAACCTTGGCTTCTTGTGACTTGCTCGGTGCCCTCCTAGCGCTTGAAATGACTGGAACTGCCTGTTGCAGGTTTTGCACTCGAAAACTCGACCACTGCCGGCGGTGGACGCATCATATGGCCTAGATCCTCCCTGAGAGAGCAGCATCAAGCAGTTAGCCAAAGCGAGGTTCGTCTCAACCTCTCCTTCAGGAAAACTTCTCTTCATTTTTTTTTTTCTTTTCGTGGTGTGAAATAGAAGATTTAAGGTTAAGGTTAGTTCTAATTTTTTTGAAAGAGGAGGAAGAAGTAAAATTGGGGTTTTGAGTGGGCGTGGGGTATGCTCTATTTATAGGTTGATTCGGTGTTATTTTGACTTTTTTTCAGTCGACCATTCCAGAATGACGGTTGTGCCCTTCTTTACTTGTATGATAAGGCACTTAAGTGAGATGGGCGATTTTGGTGATTTAATTAAAAAAAAATTTAATTTGTGAATAGGTGAAAGATATAATTACTATATATTTTTATTATTAATTTATATAAAAAAATAAAAATTTATTTAAATTTGTAACAATTATTTAATTAAATTATTTTATGTGATATTATTATTAAAAATAAAACTTATGTTTATAATTTTTTTATAAAAATAGAAAAATATAATACAAATTAGAAATGTCCTTACATTAAAAATAAAATATGAGTTTGCCTACCATGTGTCGTGAAGATATATGTTTAAAAATGTATTAAATATATTTTTTATTATAAATTTATATTAAAAAATAAAAATTAACCATTAATTTATTAAATTTTTATTAAATTCATTTAATATTAAAATTAATATTAATTTTTATATTTATTATATATATTTATAATAAAAAATATAATAAATACATTTTTATTTTATATTTTAAAAATATAAGATAAAAAAACCCTTTAAAATACTACTTACAGTGCGGAGAGCGTTGATGAAGCCGTATCAACCGACATTTGTGCATACGTCTACATGACTGAGTTGATGATGTAATGGAGAGGAAAGAGTTGTGGTTCCGGTTCCTACGTTATTTCCTAGAAGATTCAACCTTCGAGAAGTTTCTCACTTTCTTAGCAGTTAGCACGCAAGATGACTGTTTAAACCCAATTGAATATTTCCACGTGGATTTAGTCAGCTTTGATTGTTAGGTAGAAGCAGTTAATTGTATGGCAGTTTCGGTATACAGTGAGTACGTGTCTATTCGGAAATTAAGCGGAGTACACATGTTAGGGCTGGCGGCGGTTGCCGGTTGGTGACCTAGGAAAGGCGAGGGAGCATGCTACATGGTTTCACATGTGATGAAGATTAATCTTCATCGATTTTTCTTTTATAAATTAAACATTCGTGGTTTTTATTTAATCTCCAATTATTTTTCTAACATTCTCAAAAACTTTATCCTAATATATATATATATCTAATAATTACGTTACACTATTGCAAACCTACGAAGTTTGATATTTAGCCTTTTTTTTAATGTTTATATAGTATAATTTATTTAAATAAATTAATATTTTTGAGTTAGTAAAAGAGAGATAATTTATATTAACATTTTTTTTAACACAACAGAACTCACTAGGGATGTGAAATTTATTTTAAGTCATTGGTCCGATTAATTATAACTAAACATTTAAAACTTGAAAACGAATCATTGAATCTGAAAATTTAATTCTATTAACATTTAATATTAAGTAATTATTAATAGAATAATATCATTTTAGAATATTCTTCAATGTTAAATTAGGTTTTACTAATGGGTTTGTCTGGTAATACTATGTAAATAATATTAATTTATTAAAATTAATATTTATAATTTTTTATATCAATTAATTAAAAAAAGTACAAGCTTAACATGAACCTTAGAGAATGAAAAGTCTGTATACTAATTGCGTGGGTACAAACATAATATGTTGTCATGTAGCCGTCACTGAATTTATAGCTAGGCCTAGGGTCAGAGATGTGAAAAAATGAATGTGAATGGGAAATTCCCAAGTTTCCAACTGCTGCCGAAGGTCTTGCTTAGAAAGTTAAGAACAAACGAGAGAAATGCTGTATTAGTGTCTCTTTCTTACTTTTGATTTTGAGGTTTAGTGTAAAATTGGGTATTACGTGTCAAACAATGTATTAGTAGTAGCTAGTTAGCCACGTCATTTTCTGAAGTGGTAATCACTCAACTGTGGATTGGGAAATGATTTTATATTATTATTTTTTATATAATTTAATATATTATTTAAATAATTAATTCTTTTATATCATATAAAACTTATAATGTTGAATACATTTATTTATTTAATGATATGTAAAAATTATATAAAAAAATAAAATAAAAAAATTATCCTTATCCCATCTTGTGGATTAACTCTTTAATTTTGACGTGTCAAAGACGAGACTAAGTCCTGCGTGTTTATCCTATATGAACTTACTTGCTTTGCACACAGGAGGAATATAAAAAGCACTTTCCAATTTCTGTTTCTCTTCCATGGAAAAGCAGAACCAATGAAAATCAATACCTTTTGAAGAAGAAAGCACCGTGTTTGGCGATAAAATTAAAGTTTGTTTAACTGCAACAAGCTGGAAGTCGTTTAACGAATTATTATCCACCAACTTTCGGAACTTAGAAGCAGCCCAACTATATAGATATGTATAGTCAACTTTAGGTTAAGCTGACTTAACAAAATTAAAAGCTCTTAATTTGGTAGTGCAACTTGGTTAGTTCAATTCCTAATCAATACTATTGAGTGCATACACGAACTACTTAATTACTTTTTTTATTATAATAATATTTCTTAGATTATTTAATTAGTGTGATCATCACTTGTGTAAATGACTCCATAACCAACAACTTTTTAATTGTGGTTACACGTGGAAGTGATCTAAAGTATTGGCAAACATGACCTTATTAATTCATAATTAAGAAATCAGGCCGAGATTTAAGTAAGATAATTTCATTAAAAAATTAAATATGAGAGATATTCTAATGTTAATTGTATAATATTTATTTTTTCTTTAAAAACAAATGAATATTTCATTCAATAACGTTTCTTAGGATGAAATTTTAGTGTTTATCTAGAAGAAAAGGGAAGGCCGTTTCAATTTTCCAACGAACTTATCCTTTTCTTTTTTCAACTCTTTATATTCTATATAAAATTTTCGTCATTTGAAAAATATAAAAAAACTAATTTCATTGAAACAATTTTGATAAAAAAAAGGTCATGTTTGGTAAGAGGAATGTATCCTTATCTTTTTTCAACTCTCTGTATTCTATATGAAATTTTTTGTCCTTTGAAAAATATAAGGAAATTAATTTCATTAAAACAATTTTGATAAAAAAAAAAAAAAGGGTTAGAGGAATACACACACATGGGTTTCTAAAATTTCAAACTTACTTTGTTCAGAAGATAATGAGATTAATAGTAGTAATTGATTATTGTTGACTTTTCTTGTGAGACTTTAGAATCTTAATCATCTAGTCATCAGCAACAAGATATAGCCTTTGGAGTAGTGAAAGAAAGCTAATTCTTTATTACGTCTAAGGTTGATTTAACTTGAGTTTCATTTTTTAATTACTTGCTTAAGTTACACACAAACTGCGAAACTTAATTACATAGTAATTAAATATAACTTAAATGAAATGTCTTCTGGATTAATTTTGCATTCTTGGTGGAGATTTTCAAAACTTTAGTCAATTCACGAGCCATGGGTATTGAAAACAAAATTTCACACCCGTTTAAGGAAGATTAATATGGAATATGGATACCTAATTATTTTTTTATTCACAAATGAATTTATAATTGGATTTTTTAACCTATATCCTAAGTATAATAAGGGCACAATTAATACATATTTTTTTACATTAATTTACATTAAAAATGACAAAAAATTGATATTAATTTTATCACATATGTCATATGAACCATTTTAACTAGTAACTTGTTTAAATAAAGATCAACTCTTATTTTTTTCAATGTCAATTAATGTAAAAAAGTGCCCTTTGGGCGCATATTAAAAAAATCAATTACAATTAGATAATATATTTGACACATCTTTAACATGAATGAAGTGTTAAATTCATTGAAAAATAAGTGTTATTTTATAAGTTAAATATATACATTAAGTTGATATGAAAATGCACCCCTAAAATCATTAAAAAATGATAGTTTTAAGGTGTATAAAAATTAATTTTAAAAACACCCTAACCATTAAAAAAAATGAACGGAAGTGTCGTGTATGAATAATTGTTAATGATTTTTTTCTTTTCTTTTATTTTTTGGCCGAGATAATTGTTAATGATAAGTGCTAGTTATCAAGGTAGAAAAGCAACTAGTGAAAACCCTATTCGTCAAAATTAATTTTCCATAAGACTTTCATCAGCAGTAATTAACCAATAATGTCGATGGTCCAGAGTGGCATTTATTCACCCTGGAAAAATTTGCAAGCAACTAGGTCATGTAAATTATAATAAACTCCATGAATATCGATGCAGCTACTATTAACAGAGAAGCTTGACTCTTTGTAAGCCATGACTTTGCCGTGAGTAGCAAGGAAGGTTGGGCAGATTTCATTTGTTGCATCTCATGTCCAAATCAACAATAAATTATCCAATAAATAGAAATTTTGATACAATTCTAGATCAAGTGAAGTCTACATACTGACACATTCTACCAACTGAAGAATTGATTATTTTAGCTTCTAGAGCATGCAGTTCTTCTAGACTTCTAGAGCTATAGATAAGAACTAGCCAAGGGTTTCAATTTGAAAATTCAAATGCGTGGAAGTAGTTGAGTCACTTAGTTATGTAAGTTGTATTTGATTTAATTATTATAGGACAAGCATCAGCTACAATTATCTCTTATTAAACGAATAAAAATATTTGTGTTATAAATAATAATGTATAATTGTTAAATAATAGAGATATCAATTATCAATTACAAAGCCTTTTTGTTAAGTTTTTCAACTAAATTAATCATAATTAGAACTTTACTAAAATTCAAAGAAACCCATAGCATATATATATATAGAATGCTCTAATATAGCCTATCATATACAGTTGTATTACGCACCTGATCCTTCGAATCAAGTGGTGTTCAAGTACTTTTAAGGTGCAGTCCCCCCTTCCCCTAGTGGGTTTGAAATTTGAATTACACCCATGATACTTTGTTCAAAAAATATATATATATATATATATACAGTTGCATTACTTTTAATCATTAATAAAAGTATAGACTCTTAATTTTTAAGAAAATGATTTGTTATCAATAATTATAAGAAGTACAACACAAATTACACTTTAATTTATTTATATATATAACACTCAGGAAGTTTCCTAGCTAGATGTATGGTATAGTTAAATTGGCCGGCAAGCAAAAGGCTGACACTCTTTGGTAGTTACACAAAAAATTGTATTAATTCCAGTCAACATCGGCCATTTGATTCAGGGAAGTTTAATTTGTTTCTGGTTGAAGGAAATGCACTGTTTTACCAAAAACCGAAGGCCCCATCACTGCTCTCTTCAGCTTAATAAAATATTAATATTACTTAATTATTAATTTATCAAATATTTTATTACTATTATATACATCTTCATCACTACAATCATCATCAACACTAACTCACCTCGTTTTCACACTCCACATTCGTGTCTATATACTCAGAATCGACCATTAAGACTAAGATCGAGTCCAATCATATAGAGCCATGGCAGAGCATATATGCTTCATGCCTGAAAATTCTGGGCATGATCCAAACATGGCCTTAATGTAATCCTTTTACAAACGGGACGAATTAGGAATTAGGAAGATTATTTCTCGAGCAAAGAAAATTATTTTTAAACTATTTAAGTAACTGATATTTGAGTATTTGTTAAAACTAAAAATCATCTTCACAAATTTAAAATAAATGTGAACTGGTGTCATTTTATTAAGACAAGAAGAAAAATACTACCATATAACTTAAAAATCTCTAATTAATTTAGGAAGGAAATTAATAATATGCATATAAAATAAATGAACATGCGTTACACGTACTTGTATATCAATTCAAAGAAGATGTGTAATGTGACAAACACTAAAAAGTCAGATAAATGAATGATGGTCTGTGCGTAATACAAAGTCTATGCTCACCTACCTGGATGAAATAAATGGTAGGCCTTAATAAAAGATGATCATGTAAGTAGTGACGTTTGGTTTGAGTTAAGAAACTATTGTTTAGTTAGCCCCGACCAGAAGCAATAGCCAAAGATTGTGGGCGTCTCCCCCATGTAACTCGTACATCGGTTTAGCCTATGTACATATTATGGATTGGACAATCTTTACCAAATGGATTGTTATTATTTTTATTATTTTTATTTTTGGTTTGAATATATATATATATATATTATTTTGATTGTACAATAGAACATAACTATTTTTCATTTTTTATCCCACTTTATATGTATGTCATGCGACTCAAATTCAGAATCTCTTATTTTATGCGGAAAGAAATAACCACTGAATTATTTAAGTTGTTAGTTTTTTTGTTTGAATGATAAAAGTGTTTTTAAGTTAAATTTGATGTATTTTAAGGTTAAGTTTTACTTATTTTGAGACTAATATTTTTTTGGATAATTTTACATTAAATTAATGCATTTAAAAAAATAATTATTTTATGTATTAATCGTAAAACTTGAATTTTAAATTTAATTTATAAAATGATATTTATTTATTTATTGATAGATCTAATTTTAAAATTATCTAATGAATTGCTTGGTTTGTAAGGGTCAAGTTGTGATTCTCATTTTTGTTTACCTTTAGCAGGCATTTTCTCGCATGGCGCCCTGTGCCGACTGTTGTTATATAAAAATCTAGAATCTATTTGTATTTTTCAAGTCAAGATTGCAATTTCCGAACATTTTTCCTACTTTAAGTCAAAGAGAGAACCTCTGAGGTCAGTAGTTTGGTTCAATAACATTTAACCGCGCGTATGCAGGCTGGTATCCATTTTCTTATGTTTCCCTAGGCGCGCCTTTGATGATTTCATCAAAATGACTGCGAAAGTGATTCCATGGAAAAAAACATTGGAAATATACATAACTACTAGATAACCACTACCAAGCAGTGTTTTCCTAGGGAAAAATTTTGCTTAGGAAAATGGAACTCTTTTGCTTTCCATTTTCTTCTTTTTAAAGTGGTTGCAGTCATTCCAAGCTAGTGAATCAGAAGCAGAGGAAGGTAATTTCAATTTTCAATGAACAAGATAGTTTGAAAATAGAATCAGAAAATCACCAAAGAAAAAGTAAAATGAGATCTGAGTGGCCATTAGATATCTATTTACTCTAATAGATAGATCCACAGGTTTTGCTTTGCGCCAAATCCACCCTTCAAATACTCTATTCTCTTTACTCTTTGGTTTGGTGATATGAGAACAGAGGGATGGTATAAAAATTGGTTGGGATTGGAAGGGCTTCCCAACCAACCAAGTTTAAGACCGAGTTATAATTCATTTATATATGCACAAGTATAACACAAATTATTAACTCTTTTTATATAAATCTAACAGTTTGAGATATTGAATATTGATTCCAATCTAACAATTGATAATTTATGTAAGATCTGCACATTTGATAATGGATCTTGACTTTTTAAAGATTTTTTGAGATATTATGTTCAAACTTTAAAATGTCATTATTTTATCCTCATATATGCAAGTGTCATGTTGAATCTGTGTCCTTATCATATTCCCAGCTAATCTTCCAATCCGAAAGTCTAGTGTGAATCCAACATGGGTAATGGGGAGCCGCCTTATGAAATCAATTCAGATGCATCGAGATTTGAGTTTGAATTTCAATGTAAACCAAAAAATTATGGTTGCTTGTACAGTACTAAAGCTGAATGTCAACTGGGAAATTTAGAATAATTCTTCTACCTCTAATAGGTAGAGATGCTGCCAAAACTTCGGTCTCTTGATGGGGAGTAAAAACTTGTTGTTTCTCCCTTCTGATGCGCAATCAGACGAGTGTTCACGCGTGCGCCGTCAGGTGGGTGTGTGTGTGTGTGTGAGAGAGAGAGAGCGAGCGAGGGGGACAGTGAATGTTGGGTGCATCAGGGAAATGAAGCTGATATCTTAAAAACTGGCTCTTATGAGACCACAATGGACAAAGAACAAGGTATAGCTACCTAAAAAATCTATCTTCGTGAATCCAAGAGTAAAAATTTCTCATCACAACCATTTCTTATTGCGTAAACTGTAAACAAATTAAAGTATCTGGGGTATGCTGTTCAGGACTCAATTAAGGTACTAGGCTCACTCCAAAAATATCTTACATATTCAGATCCCTGAGTGAGCTTTTCCCAAATCAGTTAGAACAAAGCCTCATCACTCCACAAGTATTTCGATCTAGTTACATCATCACTATTATTATTATTTTTTTTTATCAGCAAAAAGATAGATCATTCATAAAAGAAGTACAAGGGGTAGTCTGCCTCATACAAGCATCCGGGAGTATAGCTCACATGTTTTACATAGAAAAGTAAATCGATCTGTCAGCAAAACAAAGTCTACCTAATTGCTTGTCTAGGAGACTTACACCATGCATCTTTACTTAAATCTCACCATAAATTTGTTTTAACCCAAGTATAGGATCTGTATTTGATCAATTCAATGACCTTACTTTCTGTGTCCGCTTCCTCCCTGAAGATTTTTTTGATTCCGCCATAAACATAAAGACCAAATAATAGTGAACCAAATCATAGTCCAGGCTTCTCTCTGAGTTCCTTTTGGGCCATCACTATTAATTTAATCAGCATACCACCATAATAGATTCCTAAACAATGTCTTGATCCTCCTAGCATCCTATGTTCCTTGATTGTCATAGGATACAAATATAAGACGCACATATGTATCCAAGCGTCTTACTTGCTTTTCATCAAAATCTTAGACACTTCACATGCAACTCACAACAAAGAATTGTATGGGATATAGCTAATATACAGATTTCAACTAGTTTAACACTCTTATTTTGATCAACATCATTGTTACATGTACCACATTTCTATAATACTTTGAGCATAAGGTGGGATAACTAAAGTTGCAGCTCCCTGTTCCGAGACTAAACACTCTTGCTCTTCTAGTTAACAGCATTCTATTCACAACAGTATCAAAAATTAACAGGGCTTAGAAATGAACCAATCAATCCACAAACTCTGAGAAACTCGACATTCACAGAATTACACAATCATTTGAAAATATGAGATCAGATTTCCATCGTGAAATTCAGTTCCAAAACACACAGAAAAAGTATTAAAGAAAGAAGAAATGAGATTCCTATCAATTTACATACACTTGTTAAAAAACTTAAATTCGATAAAAGCTTCACCTTTGGAACCACTCATCTTCTGCATCCTTACTGGATTGGTTTAAGTCCAATTTCTGCATCCCTTCTTGTGCATTGTTGCTGGATTGGTCAGGTGTACCAAATTTCTGTTTGAAGGAGTCCTGCCTCTGTAACCACATCATATGCCCCTTCAAAGATGAAAAAGAACCAAATTTTCAATGAGAAAACAAAAACCCAGAAACTCAAATTCAGTACAGGAAATGGAAACCCAAGCATAAAAGATCCATCATTTTTATGCTTCGAATACCAAATGTTGGTGATTTCACCTGAAGAGCAGCAGCCCAGGCGATGAGGAAAGAAGCAAACCAGAACTTTTTGTCTTTGAGCAGAGCTTTGGCATCGATCTTCGCCATGAAACCCTAACCCTAGATCGTCTAGATCTGTGATTTTGTTGTAACGAAGGAGTTTTTGCAAGGCAAAAGGTGCAGATCACCCCCTAAACTCAACAACTGGTGGCAAATCACCCCCTCAACCCATTTCACGCGCAAATCAACCCCTCAACTCACCTGCAGTGGCAAATCAGCCCCTCCCTTAACCCTTCCGTTAACATTTAACAGTCTGCTCATCAACCCTTCCTCTGTGTCTGACATGGCCTTCTTTTTGCTGAGATGGATGCTGAGGTGGAGGCACAGCTGGACAAATATCTCAAAATTAGCATATTACACAAATTACTTTTATTGCTGAGATGGATGCTGAGGTGTAAACATTGTATATTATTTTTAAAATACTACAATAGCCAATTGAATTGAGGATTTTTCTACAATTATATATTATTTTAATTGATTAATTATTATAATTAAAGTTAAATTTTATTTTTTTATGTAATTTAATTATAAAAAAATGTACTAATTATTATCTTGGTGAACCCTTAGAAAATACAGTTGAGAAAAACTTAATCTAAATCAAACCCAAAATAATTGCAATTGAGTAATCATTTGTTTATGGACAAAATTTAATCAATTTATAGACAAAAACAAGAAAATGGGAAAATGGGATGGTCAGCTCCGCCAAGAAATCATCTTTGCCTTGCATACTGTCTCTCGAGAATTTCTTCACGGCAATTTCCAGATTCTCCTTCTCCAACACCCTTCTATAGACTACCCTGTATCCTCCCTGACCCAGCTTCCTCCCTGACCCAGCTTCTGCTTTTGGTCAAAGTTGTTCATCGCCATCTTCAAATCCCGGAAGTGGAACTCCCTGGGCGTTCCCAGTAGGCTCTTCAGTGTGCCCAACATACAAAATTAAGAAGATACAGAAATTATTCAGAATTAAAGCAAGAGGTAGTAATTTTGTGCATCAACCAACCTTAATAAATATGAAAAAGTATACAACAGCACCGACAAATCAACAACCCAAAATAAGCTCTAAAACTCCAACAAAAGAAAACATAAATCATAAATATAATATACACAAGAAAAAACAAACAGCATATCTGAGGCTTGAGCCATCAGAAATTCAATGTGATAAAATACTCTACATATCATTTGGTGTAAAAAAATTGCTTCTTTTCTGTGCATCAAATTGATTTAAAAGCTCTAGTTCCCATCCCCATTTCCCCCAATAAACAAGTAATTAACCATGGCAAAACCAACATCAAGATCCACCAGAAAATTACCAGATCCAATACAAAAATATAATGCCAATTAAAATCACAGAAAGAATAGATCTTCTCCAGAAATGCAACCCAAAAGACCCCTTGAAACCAACAGATATGAGCCCTTTTTGTCTTCTTAACAAAGATCTAGATCGAATTGAGCAACAAATGCAACTAAATCAAATGTAAATTAGCCATCAGAAAACAATAATTTCTTCCATATGCAAACTTATCAAACGAAACTAAACAATACAAAGACCAAAAACAGCGTCTGGGATCAATCAAGAAGCCATGCTCGATAATAAAGAGTTCAATTTTTGAAAGGACGAAGAGGGGAAGAAGATGATAGAAGCTGGAAAATGAAATAAAACCCTAAATATCCTCAAAATATGGTAATTTCACAGAAGATTTAGAGTTTGACAAAGAACCCATGCTCGATGAATTGCAAATCTTGCTGAAAAAAGGTTCAATTTTTAAAAGACGAAGAGGGGAAGAAGATGATAGAAGCTGCCAAACAAAATAAAAGCCTAGATATCCTCAAAATATGGTAATTTGACATAAGATTCAAAGCTTGACGAAGAACCCCATGCTCAATGAATTGCAGATCTTGCTAAACAAAGACGAAGAAGGGAAGAAGACAAAGATGATAGAAGCTGATCCCTAAATCCCTAAATCCCCAAATCCCCAATTTTATTCCCTAAACAACTTAAGGGTATAAAAGTAATTTGCATAATCTGCTGATTTTGAGGTATTTGTCAAGTTGTGCCTCCACCTCAGCATCCATCTCAGCAAAAAGAAGGCCACGCCAGACATAGAGGAAATGCTGATGAGCGAATTATTAAATGTTAACGGAAGGGTTAAGAGAGGGGCTGATTTGCCACTGCAAGTGAGTTGAGGGGTTGATTTGCGCGTGAAGTGGGTTAAGGGGGTGATTTGCCACCAGTTGTTGAGTTTAGGGGGTGATTTGCACCTTTTGCCTTTTTGCAAGGGGTTGGGATTACTACGGCTCCAAATCCTGCGGTTCGCTACAGTTGCCACTTGTTCCCAGTGAAAAATTTTCATTCAGATGATTTTATTAAAATGTTTAGTATTGCAGATTAAAATTAATAAAAAATAATATAATAATAATTTCTTGAAGTTAAGGTATATTAATTTCGACTTTAAAAATAATTGTAGTTTTAATTTTTATTTAAAAACTAAAATTT